AAAAAAAATGGAAGATATTTAAAAACAAATTGAAAAATATCATCTGAAGTAATTGATATTCTTTCTCAATATAAAAGAATATTTTTCATTGAGTTTATGAAACAAACGAGAATGTATTCTATAATTTCAAGATCAATTTTTTAAACCATGAAACATCATTAGATAATGTGAAGAACGAAAAAAAGATGTTGGATGATCTGAAATGCATTTGTTAATTCGAATAATTCATTCTTAGGTATTTCTCCTATCTTTACTTTTCTAAAAAAAAAAAGAATACATTAAGAACTATTTCAAAAGTTAACAGAAAAATATTCTATTGAAATGAAAAGCGATTTTCAAAAGAGGAGAAAACATTTGATGGATACCATACTGCTTTTTTTTCCATGAACATGTTTCAGGGAATAATAGGAAAGTGCTGTACTCGTAGACATATTTGAAAAATTTACCAAATTCAGTTTCTATTCTTTGTTAATTAGGGTTTCGGAAGAATAAGACTCATCAATTGAATATATTCTTATTATTAATGTAAATTAGATATAATTTATTTCGAATATTAGTTTAAATATAACTCTTCATATAGAGTGTTGCAACAGTCCGATCGAAAAAGAAATGTAAATATCTGTTCTTCTATTGAAGAGATATATTAGTCGACATCTGTCCTATTGCTTTTGCATCAGGTGTTATATTAAAAGCTGTAGCTCAAAGACTTCAACAGACTTCATAAGACTTCAAGACTGAAGTCTCCGCTGTTTCTCCCTCGAGAATTTTATACATTAACATCAAAAATTGATACGAGAATGGATGGAACAATCAATTATAATTATTTTCTTCAACAATATGTCAAAAACAATTAGTTTTTTTTTTCTTTTTTGCCTACTTTTTTTCTATATAAGAGATTTATATCAACTAACGATTACGATAATTTTAATAAACTTATTTTTTTAAGATATAAAATAAGAATTTGAACAATGTACGAATCTCTTAACGATTGAATAGAGTTACTATTTCAGTGGTGCACATGTATAGGACGCAAAAAAGCAATATTAATTGAAAGCAAAAGATTTTTAATTATTCATTAATATCTATCGTTACATTCGCTTTAGATCGAGAACCAAATTTTAGGTCTAGACCCATCGTCGGTTTAATTTTTGGATGGAATACTTTGATCGTCTTGTTTGATTAGGCCTTGTCTCCACTGGAAAATTTAATACCGAATTAAGAAACTTGATTCGTGGAAAATTTAATTCGCATTTATTGCACTTTCAAAAGCGCATTAAATTTAATGCGCTTTCGAAAGCGAATTAAAGTTAATGCACCAATCAAAGTCTCATTAAGTTCATGTGCTCCAATTGAATTAATGAAAGCGACATTTCGTTCTAGATTCTGATTGATGCATTAACTTTCTAAGTGTAGACACGCATCATTTTAATACGAAGTTAATACTGTATTATTTTTCTAGTGGAGACAAGGCCTTATATACACAATTTATTTGTTTCTTTTTTTTTGATTGGTGAGAAATCCTTTCAATTGTAATTTTGAACTTAATTTTGAGAACATTTTTAGTCTGTTTTGAACCTCTGTTAGGTACAAATAAATTGACTTTTCATAAAGAAAAAATAGTTTTATTCCACAAAAAATCCTTTTTTTTAGCACAAATCGTTTTACACAAAAAAAGTTTTAAACCAACAAATGACTTACGGTAAAAAAAGATCATCTGCACCGGAAAAAAAACAACTTTCACAAAAAATGTTTTAAAATGATAAAAAATCGACTAACAGAAAAAAACAGTTCTAACTATAATAAACCAAGTTACTTGCTAAAAATGAACAAATCAGTTTTATCAGAACAGGTTTACTTCCAATAAAAAAAAATTTTTTATTATAAAAGCCAGTTGATTAAAACCCCATTGGTTTTCGACCTTGAGGACCAAATAAAGCTAGAATAGAATTATTAATATATCAAATATTTATGCATCAATGTATTTACCAATAAGATAAAATGCACCGCCAATTGCACAAATACCAAGTACAATAAGAAACAAACCAAAACATGCAGCTCTTACTCCTTCATCGTTCCATATCTCTCCGAACCAATTGCCAATATAATGTAAATACTAAATTAAAATGAATTTAAAGTTATTTACTAAACAAAAAATTTGTTTCAAATATACTCATACATTTTTTAGTTTTGATTGTTTTTTGACTACATGCCCTGTAGTTATTGTTGTTGTTGTTGCACTTGTTTTTAATACACTTGGTGGCTAAATAAAATAACGAATATTTAGAAATTAGTTTATCTTTTATATATCTACTGGTTCACGAGGACGTGTAGTTTGTCTTAACCGAAGAGTAGTTGATAAAGATTTCTAAAAATAAAATAAATTAAATTAAAAATAAATATTGACGTGTATTATATTCACTTGATTGTTTATTTGAATCGATATATATATATATCCAAAACAATCGTGTAAATGTAAACGAATAGTATCATAGATTAAGAACGAATTGAATTGATCAAGAAAACTTAGATGACTACTATACTAGTCCAATGTTTTCAAAGAGTGAACTTGAACATATACGCCTCCATCACTTAACCCTCTTCAATTGACCTTTTTGAAAAACAAACCCATCCTGTGAGTTGTTTACAATGAATTTTCAATAATCAGATGTACATTCAAACTGCTAACCGAAGATCTACAAACTGTTAAAGACTCGGATGTTTAAATTTATTATTCAG